TACAACCCCGACTGGCCAACGCCTGGACTTGCTGGCCTGAGCGACTTTGAATTCCTCGAGGCGCTCGCCGCGCAACAGTGAGCTGGACAATGGAACGGGCTACGCCAATCACTTGTCCATGAACTCGTCACCACATTTCTGTAGTCCTTGCCGAGCGAAACACGCTCTTGCTCGACTGCTTTGATTCGTTTGCCTCTATACCTGCGCCACGAAATCTGGATCCACGATCCGCTCTCGATACTCACATTCTAGTTTACCACATACATTACTTTGTCCCCCATCCGACCGCGGCCCATCCACTTTGACCTGCGGGCTCCACCCCAGGCGCCCGACCTCTCCTGTACCGACTCTTGCGATGCTTTCTACATGCTACCCCATTACGTCAATCATATCTTCTTAGGCCTGATCCATCCGTTCTCTTGCGAGTCATCCGGGCGTGCGATCCGAGATCGCTGAGCGCGCGCACAGACGAGTGGATGCGCCTCATCCATCCGCGCGGGCGCGCCTTTGTCCTCGAAGGCGCGGCTGCGCCAATTGATAAGTGTCATGGGCGTGGGCGTGGGCGTCTTGAACGCCTCTTGATTGCTTCATCTTGAACGAGCTTAGGGGCCCCATATTGAGGTGTAGGACAAAGGCAAAGAGGCGTTCAGATCTCAATCAAATCTCACGCCGCAAATTCAGATCATTTTCTGTGAGATATGCTCCAGCGCTGTGCTTGTGGATGTGTATGCTGGGCGCTGCAGAAGCAGCCAGGCGGGCGAAGCGGTAACGGCAAGACACGCTGCTGCGATGCGATACGATGCGATGCGCTCGCTGCATGCAATCACGAATCACGAATGCAACAACGAAACGAGAACAAGAACAAGCAGGGAACGCGAACGCGAAGACGTAAGGCGAGGACAAGGAAGTTGGACGCGATTTGCGTTAGAGGTCAAGTTTTCCCTTTGTTCTTGTTTTCTTGCGGGCGTTATGTTGCGCGAATGGGTGAACGTGATCAGGAATCGACAAAGAGATGATCTCGGCAGAGAGGTGATGTTGGTACGGAGCGTGACTATCCACGTGCGTGTGTGCATGCGTGTACCGTATCTTTGCGACAGAGCGACAACGGGGATGAGAAAGGTGCAGACATTAAGGATCGCTCAACTCATCACGATTTTGCGACTCGTAGGTCTGACTGCAGCACGACTTGCGTGACTCTTTCTTACTGTACAAGCGCGACGAGAGAAAGGTGCCATCTTGCAACAGTGATCCCAACTCGTACAGCGTACCTCAAAGCGCAGAAGGCAAAGATCGCATTTCTCCCCCAAGACGAGTCAGTCAGAAAGGTGCTTATGACACAACCGCACTTAGCTCAGCTAACGACTCTCTCGATGACACCCTCCTGCCGACTGAGTGTTGTCATAATTCGTCTTAGTTGGATGATACCGGTCTAAAATACATGAGATGACATGGATACGCATCAAGAGAAGCGTGTCCACTGCTTAAGCAGCGGTATTAGGCCCGGCGCTCCTTTTGATGGTGATCTTGACCCGACTTGCAGCTGCCGGACCAGGCGTATTCGAGCTCGCATTCTCCACAGCGTCCACCTCCATAGCATTCCCATCCTCTCCTCCCTCTCGTGTCGCTTCACTCCCGTTCTGATCAGCAAGTGTCTGCTGCTGCTGCGCGGCAAGTTCCGCCGCTTTCCTCTTTTCCTTTTCCCCAATCACATACGCATCCACCGCTTCGCGCGATTGTGAGATGCTCCGTCCGCCCTTGGCATTCAGCAAGAGCGATGGGTCAGAGGGACGATCGGCACTTTGCAGATTGGACTCGGGTTTGGGTGGTAAGGCGGTACGTGATGCTGCGTATTCTTGCTCCGTCGTGGCTGGATGAGCGATTGGATGTTGTGGACGCGTGGGGAGACCTGGAGCTGCTGCGCCTAGCTCTGCGTCTAGATACTCGTACAACAGACTGCAACGGGATATTATCAAAGCATCAGCGTCGCGCTCTCTGTGCGAGGTGACGGGACCCACTCACGCTCTCTCGAGCCTCATCCTCTGCAGGTTCCGCTTGATGCGCAACGTCTTCAGGTAGACTCGCTCATTCTCCTGCGAATGACAGCGGATAGGGGACGGAGTCAGCTATCGTTCAAGCGAGAGGTATCGCTCCTCGACGAATCATACAGCACTCCGCCACCAACAGCAACACATAAGTCCTGCACCTG